AAAAAAAAAAAAAGAATTACACTTTCTTGTCTTATGGCACGTTAAAAAAAAAACCAACATAGAAGTTGTCCTGTGTTAGCGTGCCTTGTATAATATTTTAAAGTTTATTTGAGTGAAAGTTTACAGAGCAAATTCATTTTTCAATAATTCATACACATCCTTTGTGACTACAGTCCCCCACATTATAGCAACCCTCTCTCCTGTGTTTTCCATTTCCATTGTTTCTTATTTCCTCTCTCTTCCTACTATTTTATTTTTATCCTTAGGTATGTTATATGTATCATCGAGTTGTTTGCAACCCTTAGCAATCCCTTGCACTATTGCTCCGAATCCTGCCCTATCCTCAGGCAGTTTGATTGTCTCCTACACTCCTACATGCCCATTATCCCAGTCACTGTATCTATCCATCTCATCTTGGGCCTTTCTCTCTTGTGCTGTTCCTCCAACTTTCCCAACATGAGGTCCTTCTCCAAGGACTGGCAACAAGTCCAAAGTATGTCAGACAGAGCTTCAACCTCCTTGCTTCCAAGGAGTGGGCTGGCTTTATCCTCTCTAGGACAGACCTGTTTGTCCTCATGGCAGTCCATGGTATGTATGTTCAGTGCTCTTTTCCAGGACCACAGTTCAGAGGCATTGATTTTTCTTCTGTTATCCTTATTCATTATCCAGCTTTGTGATGGATAGCAAGTAGTTATGAAGACCATGGTATGGACCAGGTACACCTTAGTCTCCGGACTGACGTCTTTACTCGTTGTTGTTGTGCACTGTTCAATCGTATCAGAGTGGCACAGGAGGAGATTGCCCCTCCTTCTCCAGCAGAGTGTCTGGTGAATTTGAACTGCGTACCTTTGGGATGGCAGCGCAGCTTCTTGCCACTAGGCCACCAGAGCTCTCTGCAGCTTTACTTTTCAGCACTCTGGAGAGATCCCTGATAGCTTACTTTTCCCAATGCAGTTCGTATTGATTTCCTGACTGCTGGTGCCAGGCGTGTGGATTGTTGAACCGAGTAAGCTGAAATTGTTAACAATTTAAATCTCTTCTCCTTCTATCATAGTGCTGCCAATTGGCCCAAGGGTGAGAATCTTAAGTCTTCTTGGCATGAGTTACCCTTTTAATCATGTCTGTTTAATTGTTCCAAGGAATGTCTTCTTTCTTGGTGTTTTGATCACGATGTAAACCCTATCTTGTTTGGCTGAAAGTTGAGTCATGGGGGTGATAACCGCTCTAGGTTTGGAGGGTGACTAAAGTTGATCGGACCTGTAAGCCTGGTCTTGTTTATGATTTTGATTTTTGTACCCCATCTTCCTCCCAAGTGATCAGCAGTGGTCTGATTCTTCTTGTTTCAAGGTCAGAGAGACTCATGATCCATTAGTTGTCAGGTTTTCTTCTCTGCTCTCGATGAGACCAGTAGTCAGCTGGACCTTGGGTGAGCACTCAGAAGTTTTTAAGACCTCAGTCACTCCCCAAAGTAGAATGCAAAACATTATCTTTGTGAACAGTTAGTTATGCCAGTTGGTTTGATATCCGGTGACTGTGGTTTGGAGACTCATTTGAATCTTCAACATGTTTAGTTATAACTAGGAGGTTTTCCTGTTTTGCCCTGTTTGTTATAGGTATATGGATCTATTTACAGAGAATATAAATAACATTATCTACCTAATTTATGTGGTCTGGATGTATTCTCCTTTGCCTACACACAGCCTGTCTATCCAGTTGCAGGTTTGTTCCAGCAACATGAAAAGTCCACTGATGTCTGCTCTCAGTTCTGTCATATGAAAACCATGAGCCCATTTCTATTCTGTCCCATTTTTGTTTATCCTCATACAAATACCATGCCCTCTTCATTGCAATCACTTTATAGCGATTCATTATCTGATAGGCATCCCACATCTACAGAGCTTTTCAAAATTCCTTTTAATTCCCTCTATAGTAGGGTGTGCATACAATTAAAACAATGCTGACTTTCGGAGGCAATTTGACCTGTTTACTATCACAAACTTTTTTCCATTTTGGGTTTTTTCCTTTGTTTATTGGCCTGTTTTTTATATACTTAGATATAGTTTTGTACTTTCCTACACAGTAGGCTTAAACAATCTTTTAAAAGTTTATTCCCAAGTACTTTATATTAATCTTGTAGACATTAGTAAATGGGGCTTTTTAAATTAAAATTTTTGTTTGCATATATACATGAAATTGAACTTCGGATTATTTGTATTTAGTCTTTAGATATGTCATAGTATGGAATATATTTGAGATTCTAACTTTGGTCTTGTATAAATTACAGCATCAAGTTTAAAGTTTTGGTTTTGAAATTTTTTTTTATTACTTTTTTTTTTTAATGTGTGCACTGTCAAATCAGATCTGACTGGTACAGGAGGAGATTGTCCCTCCTTCTTCAGCAGAGCATCTGGTGGATTCGAACTGGTTTTTAAAATTTTTAAAATTCATAATTATTTTATTTTTTTCCCTTCAATACTTTGAATGAGGATCCTTTTTTCCAAAGACTATTATTACTTTTATTATTATTATTAATATGGTGTGTGTGTGTGTGTGAGTGTGTGTGTGTGTGGTCACATTGGATCTGATTGGTACAGGAGGAGATTGTCCTTCCTTCTCCAGCAGAGTATCTGGTGGATTTGAACCGTACACCTCTGGGATTGCAGTGCATCTTCTTGCCACTAGGCCACCAGAGCTCGCCTTTTTTCAAAGATATTATTTGCAAGAACAGAGAACTATATTTCATAGTCTCTTATGGAGACTTTAAATAAAATGACAGTGATTATATATCACGTTCAGAAATCTTGATTCTATAATGTCTGAAAGATCAGAATTCTTTGTTCCTTTTGATAGTTTGTGTCATTCTGTACGTTCGTGTTTGAAAATGACTCTACTTTTTAAAAGGCTTCAAACAGTAAGTAGCCTGTGACATGTGATGTGGCAATCAGCTTCCATAGGATTTACAACCTCTGAAACCCAGTAGGGGCCGTTCTGTTTTGTTCTACAGTCACTTTTAGTCAGAATCAACTCAACAGCAGTGCATTTGGTATAACAAGATAAAACAATGTTGGGGCTCTGGTGCCCAGTGGGTAAGAAATTACACTGTGATCTCAGAGGCAGGTGGTTCAGAATCCACCAGCTGTTCCATGGGCAAAAGATGAATAATTTCCTCCTGTGTGACTTGCAGCCTCAAAGAATTCTTGTGGGTCAGCTATGAGTCAGTTCCAGCTGGGTGACAATGAGCTTGAGTTTATAACTTCGAGAGTGCTGGTAGTGTGATGCGTAGCGAGTTGCACTGCTAATCCGAAGGCCATATATCTGGCTGTTCAAACCCACCAGCAGATCCATGGGAGAAAAATGGGAATTTTTTCCTATGCAATTTACAGTTTCAGAAACCCAATGGAAAAGTCAGCTCTGAGTTGGTTTTGAATTGATGACAATGTTAGGTAATTCATATATGTATAGAAATAAAACTTCTTTATGTTAAGTGGCAGCAGGTATAAATTAGAAAAGATTTGAACATACGTTAAAAAAACAGACACACACCAAACACCATAAACTGTACAGTTTAGGCAAGATGTATTTGTTTAGTGTTCAGTATTTTCGTATTAAACTTGGAATGCAATTTTGTCTTTTCCAGTTGGAGTCATCCGTTGTCCAGTTTGCAGCCAAGAATGTGCAGAGAGACATATAATAGATAATTTTTTTGTGAAGGACACTACCGAGGTTCCAAGCAGTACCGTAGAAAAGTCTAATCAGGTAAGTGCGTTGAATCTTGAACTTTTGGTCCCCTGATAAAGAAACACTCAAAGCATGAAACACTGAGAAATGAAGGAATCAGACTTGAGGCCTTTATAACTCCAAAAAGCACTCAGCTGCTGACAAAAAGGATAGCAGTTTGAACCTCTCATCTGTACCACTAGAGACACATGAGGCGGTCTACTTTCGTAAAATGACAGTCTTGGGAACCCTACAGACTGCTCTATTCTGCCCTGTTAGGTCATTATGAGTTGAAATCAACTGGACCACAGTGGATTTGCTTGAAGTTTGCCTATAACCTGCCAGTGCATAGATCCCTGTCTGTGCCTGACTCCTGCATACCCTGTAAAGATTACCTCTGTTCAACATTTGACATTCTCCTCTTTTTCATACTTTTCATAATGTGTCAAATATTTCTTTCAAATATTTCATTTTTCTATTTGAAATAATAAACTCTACAATGATACATATGAAAAATAGCATGTCTTTGATTAGATTTTTGCCTTTTTTATAAAGTCTTATCTATTGCATGTTATTACTATGATGGGTCATTTTAGAGACAGCTTTTTATACATTTATATAATCAGTTCAGAGCGGGGGGTGGAGAGAGAGAGAGTGTGTGTGTGTTCTGTCTTCTATGGTGGTACATTTTACAGAGATAAAGAAAAGTTTCAGAGTTGTGAGAAGCAGCATCAATGGCTGTGATGAATTTGCATTGCCTAGGAGGCATATCAGGGGTCTGCAGGAGACCTCCCTGAAAATTCATGAGTGGAGATCTTCACTTTGAATTTTTTTTTAATAATTTCAAACATTACAAAAAATATAGCCAGTGTAGCTAAAAAAAACCAGCACACCGTAGATATCCATCCATCAAGTAGCTCAAGGATCATCAACTCTTATCTGTTCTTATCCTGACACTGCCACATTGATAGTGAATTATGCTATTACAGCCATAAAGAGTACAGCATGTATTTCTGTTTAAAAAGAACTTTTTCTTTCATAAGAAAACTTAATCGGTTTCATTTGGAAGACTTTAACAACAGTTAATTAATATTAACAAATATGCAGACAATGATAGTTGTCTCTTATTGTTGAAATTGAGTTGTATTGGTTTTTTGGGGGTTGGTTTTAAATGATGATATATTTCTGTTAGGATTCAAATAAGTATACACAGTACAGTTCCATCTATTTAAAGCATCTTTTTAAGTTACTGATTACCTTCTCACTTTCCCCTCTTCCATTTAACACGCTTGTTGGAGTAACTGGGTGGATTTGTCAGTAGAGTTACTGCTATTCTTAATTTGGCTGGTTCCATCTCCGCAGTCATTTCACATGCATCTCTATCTTCTGTATTATATAAGCCAGTGATGAAAATGTAAAGTCATGCTGAGATTTAGTGTTCTATGGGAGAAGGAGGATATGAAGATTTTCATCCTTGAGTACATGTGTTTCCATCAGGAGGTCATTGTTGTGTGCTGCAGAGTCAGAACAGACTCATAATGCGTTGTTTGTTGTTGTTTATTGCCTTTTGAGTCAAGCACAACTCATAGCTACCCTGTGACCAAAAGGCCTGAAGTCCCTCTACAACTATCGATATTTATCAAAGTTTCTAGAGTTTCCAGAGGCATGTTGTTTAGGAAGTGGATGCCGCTCTGAGGTTATGGGAGATTATAAATCGCACAACAAGAGACTGCCCGTCTTTCTCCTCCAGAGCTGCTGGTGGATTCGGCTTTGCAGAATGACAAGATTCTTATTTTGCTATTGCCTTCACTTCTTGTCTAAAGTAGAGAGGAAAAACTTCTTTTATCAGTTTTCCTGGCTATCTTAGAGTGCAGTTTATATAGAAAATAGATTAAATGCCTAATTCTTTACTTTAATTACAACTTTTTAGAATAGTGAGTTTTTTAACATCCTTCAGGGAGACCAGTGAGTTATAGGGTGTATTGTGTGTACATGTCTGTGTGTGTTTATTGTTAATCCATAAAGTTTTTGAAGATATGAAGGATGTTGTATTTATTATGCTTTCTTGTAATTGTGATTTGAAGTTTACAAAGGCGTTGGTTTTTCGCTTACCCATTCATGCATACTCTGCTTTGTTCCCCCCCTATCCTGCTGCCATTTTATTGGTAATGTAGGTCCTATTTCAGATTGTTAATTGCAGTACGCATATCTGATTGTACATTCATTTCAGACTGACCTTCCTGGCACCTATTCTACTATAGTGTTGTTACTGTTACTCATATTGGTGTTCCAGTTGTATATCTTGGGCAGTGGGAAGAAGCCCCAGAGATGTAGTGAGTTAAACCTTGGTGTGAACCCATGAGCCTCTCCAAGGAAGAGAGCTGAGACAGTCGCATTCTGTGAAGATTTACAGTCGGGGACACACCCAGGGCCATGCACGGTGGCAGGGAACCTGGTGGGGTTTGGTTTGGACTGTGGGAATCCCATTTATTCCTAATTTCTTCTGATACAGCTGGAGTAGTCATTGCTTTTTCTTGCTTCCTGTTTTTACAAGGTATTCTTTTTTTGGCTCTAGAACTGAAACAGGCCATTTCTCAAAGGAACTTTGTTTTCTTTTAGTGGGAAGTGCTACTTGGAGATCTTAATATGTGTGCCAGGGGTGCTCATTGCCACTGGGTTGACATTTTCTTGAGCTTCAAGGGGAAGTGAATTTTTTTTAAATGTTTGGAATGATACCAAAAAAAAAAATCACAGGTGACTTCTGGAAATTTCACTTTATAAATTGTGTTTGTATGTCTTCTGTGCTGGAAATCTGGGTTCTTAATGACATTGATATAATAATTTTATGCTACTCTATATCCTTCTGTCTTTGTAATGAACGTTTGCACTCTTCTTGGATGATACCCTTGATATCCTCCCACAACTCATCTGGTCTTCCCTCATTTGTGTTCAAGGCCTCAAACCTGTTCTAGAGATGGTTCTGAAATTCATGTGGGATAGACTCAAAGTTATATTTTGGTTCTTGTGGATTTGGTTTCATTTTCCTCAGCTCCAGCTTGAACTTGTATATGAGTAGTTGGTGGTCTGTTCCACAATCAGCTCCGGGCCTAGTTTTCACAGCTGATATTGAGCTTCTCCAGCGGTTCCTTCCACAGATGTAATCGATCTGATTCCTATGCATACCATCAGGTGAAATTAATGTCTATAACCGGCGTTTATGTCTCTTTAAAAATGTGTTTGCGATGAATAAGTCATCGATTGTGCAAGTGTAAAATTCCATCATTCTGTCTCCAGCTCCATTTCTGTCTCCGAGTCCATGTTTTCTGACTACTGATTGTTCTTCTCTGTTCCCAACTTTTGCATTCCAGTCACCCATGATTATCAATGCATCTTAATTGTATGTTCGATCGATCTCCAACTGTAAAAGTTGGTAGAAATCTACTATTTCCTCTTCTTTGGCTCTGGTTGTTGGTGCATATATCTGAATGATAGTGGTATTCACTGGACTTCCTTGTATGCGTATGGGTATTATCCTGTCACTCACAATATTGTGCTTCAAGACAGATCTAGAAATGGCTTTTCTAACTATGAAAGCAACCCCATTTTTCCTCACCTTTTCATCTCCGGAGTAGTGTATCATATGATCATCTGATTAAAAATGCCCCATGCCGGTCCATCTCATCTCACCAATGCCTAGTATGTCAATATTTATGTGTTCCATTTCCTCCTTAACAATATCTAATTTTCCCACATTCATGGTTTTCACATTCCATGTTCCAGTCACTAGTGTCTGCTTACAACTGTTCCTCTTCCTTTGTATTTCCATACTCAGTTGCCCTTTCTGTCATTCTATGTGTGTTCTGTTGTACATACGGTTTTCAGAGGCCTGCTGTTTTGAAAGTGGATGGCCAGTCCTTCTTCCTAGTGTATGTCAATCTGAATGTTCAGATCTAGAGAAGTATCCAACAGATAAGCATTTTACAGAAAGAGTGAAAATATATCCCTTATTGTGGAATTAACCATTAGTTTCAGTGTTGTCCCTGCCCTTGGCTCAAGTGCCCTGACCCACTTATTTCTTTGCTCTGCCATCCATCAAGATACCCCTCCACTTCTACCCACTCCCTTCATCACCTATCTCCCATTGTCCCGCCCTTGATCTGATAGCTTAGGTCTAAAGCTTCCTTGGTTTCTGGGGTCGCTATGATATGTGTATATATCTATGATGGGATTTGTTGTTATACATGAACCAAAGTTTAAATTTTTTAAATAAAAAAATTGTTTAACTGTATAAAATTGCTTATTAAAAAGAAAAAAGTGCAAAGTAGTACAGAGGTAACAATTTAGGAAGCAGCAGAGGGAGCAAAGGTAGGAATCACTAAAAATTGGAAAGTTGGGCACTGCATGAAATCAGAATCTCTACATTATAGGATTCCCCCCTCCAAAGCTGCTGTTCCTGGGGTCTCTGAAATGGCTGCCACAAAGCTCATTGTCCAGGCTGGGAGATAGGAGAGATGAGCTGCTGCTGGTGCAGAGAGGCCTGGTCGAAATGCCTCTCAGAAAACACAAGACAGAGGGAGCCTCCAGGAAGTCAGTGGACATGCAACCTGGTGGGTCAGGTTCCCTCATCTGAGCCAACACTGGCTCCCTCCGCACCAGCTGTCGTTGACTCTAGTGTAGATGGAACCAGCTGGAAAAAATAGCTGGTCTGGAGTATGGTGCTAGCTTCACAGTAGAGGGAAGTTGTGGCTGAACAGTTGTAGAATTGTTTCTGTCAACACAAGCGCAAGGAATCTGGAAGTTAGTTGATCCATATGTATATTGGGGTAGGCAACTCAGTCATCATTAAAGCTACTGTAAGAGAAATAATTCTTAATCTTGCCTGTAAGGTTAAGCCATTCATTTGATAAGTACCTACTAGTTTCACTTTGCTTTTGATGGTTAGAGATTATTTTTTGTTTTATACCACCTCCCAAAAAAATTTTTGTTGATTCTGACTCTTAGCAACCCTATAGATCAGAGTGGAACTACCTATAGGATTTCCAAGACTTTACAGAAGCAAGCTGCCACATCTGTCAAGGTGGACCTAGTGGGTTTGAACCTCTCCCCTTGTAGATAGCGTCCAAGCACTTAACCATTGTTCCACCAGGGCTCCTATTTGAGTAACACATAGAGTTTCAAAATAAGTCTGTAAAACAGTATATTTACAACACTCGAGTGCCTATGCTTTGTTTTCTTTCTTTTTTTTTTTTGTCCTTTTTTTTATGCTTTGTTTTCTAGTCTATCTTTTCCTTGCCATATAGGTAACCACTTAATATAAATATATTTATATAAATGTATACATATTTATGGGGCACTGGTAGCCTAATGGTTAGGGGTTGCATTGTCAACTCAAAAAGCATGTGGTTCAGAGCTATCAGAAGCTTCACAGGAGAAAAATAAGTCTCCTCCTGGGTGTTTTAAAACCTGCCTTTAAAACCCGTGGGAGGGTCAGCTAAGAGTTAAATTCTGACTCTATGGCATTATATAGGTATAATTTTTTAAAATAATTCTACAGTAGTATAGATAAGGGAATGCTTTTACAACAGAGTCTAGATACTCCATTTTCAAATTACTTTTATTAAAGTAGTAGCTAATGGCAAGGGTGAGAAGAGTTTTCAGGACAGGAAGTATTGAGGTCTGATAAAAACTTTCAGTATCCAAAGAGGATAATGTGAGTGGACATTAGAGGGGCATCAGAGAGGTGAGAAGATTGAGAAAGATATAGGGGAATCCAAATGATCCTAGGAAGCAGGAAGCTATGGTTTCAAATGATGTGAGTGAAATTGAAGATAGTAGGTAGAGACAAGTGTTGTGCAGGTATCTGGAATGTGGCTAATACAACTCGTTGTATTAGGGGAAGAAAGCAGTCCCGTTCTCTGTTGCCTACCATGAATGTCCTCGTGAGCACTGTGTGGACGTTCTCCGAGGCTGGCGTCCTCATCCACGCTGGCATAGGCTTGAAGCACAGGACTGTCTGCCACCTCATCCTCTCGCCTGTCATTTTCACCACCTACATCACTCTCAAACTCGCCCTCTTCATATCCACTGATTGTGTCTGACCTGATCACTGGCAGTGCCACCCAGCTCATCTCGATGGGGAAGCCCTTGCCCCTCTTCTAATCTTCCTCCCGCATTGCAACCAGAATGCTTTGTCAGTTGCAAAGCTAGCACTTCACCTTCTCATTTAAAAGCTTTCAATAGACTTAGACAGTTTTCTGAGAAAGGTCTGCTTGGTCTGGCCCCTGGCTGGCAGCCTCTCTTTATAAGGCCTCTTCTTGGCTACTCATCCTCTTGATCTCTCCACTTTAGTCAAACTGGCTTTCTCTCCTGCTGTACCTTCCTGCCTTTTGTACATGCTGCTTTCTACATGGAAGGCTCTTTATCTAGCCATTTACACCGTAACCTTCCAAACTAAGCTGAGCCTCTCCTGACAGTTCTTTCTCTGCTTTCTCCAACCCTCCAGACCTGCTGAAATGAGCTGAGCTCCAGTCCTGTGCTCAGAAGGCCTCTCTTAGTTTTTGTGTCAGGCACATCTGTGTGTGTATACACACACACACACACACTCACTCTCTCTCTCTCTCTCTCTCTCTCTCTCTCTCTCCCTGCCCCCCTTACTTCTCCCTCCTTCTCCCCTCTCTAGTGTGGTGATTACAACAGTGTCAAAGATGTTTATGGACGGATAGAAGGATAAGTGTCATTAGCCTTATTTTTTTTTCTATATTTTATTAATTTTCATTAACATTTACAGAGATTTTGGGTTTCCATTCATTCATTGTTGCACTATTCTCTCTACCCTCCTCCCAGTTTGTTCTGGTCCAAATGCCACAGTGCTTGTC